CTCGAATTTCTCGTTCAGCAGTTGAATCAAACAGGCGCACACAGTAGAGTGTTTCAAATTAGGTCATTCGTGGAATTTCAAACGCTACCCCCTGGAATGGTAGTTTGGGGGGTCAGAAATACCCTGCGAATATTAGAAATAATTTGGTTCACGGGAGCCCCTCGCTCAAGGGGCTCGAAGTTTGTATTGGAACAATCGACAAAACGTGTGGGGGAACGAGCAACTTTCACATTCGCTGCTCTAGGCGGCGCTGTGGTGGGTCGATTTTCTTCGTGCTGGATGTGAATCCGACTTAAACACAGGCATGCGAATGTTTGCATGACTTTTTCTTTTTTTTTCACTATGACATTTGCTGAAATTTTCACAGTAATTAGAAAAATGTTCGAAATTATGGTCTATTGAAAATAGGGACAGATTGGTCTAGTGGTTCCGGTTTTATTCCGGGTTTTCGAGAGGCCATCAATAGGAAGAAAAGGTACCAGTAGTTTAGAACAAGATGGTGCTGGAAATCCACAGCAACAGGCATCTATGGGTAGAGCTGGTTAATATTTTAACCTTAATATTTTAACTTTTGATCAAAGTATGCCTTGATTATTCTCTGCAACTATAGGAAATGAAGTAAAATTGTGATTGTTCGGCACGGATGGCAGAGGAGTTAAAACAAGCTGTCACGAGCTTTGTTTAATCACGCGAAGGTTTACTTACCACGCCGAACGGTTTGGATGGTACGCCGTTGCCCTGCCGGGACTGCTGGAACGAGTGCCTTTTTTTCTCGATTCTATCAAACAACTGTTCAAGACGCTAAGACAGTTACTCTACTAAATTAAGAGACTGTTACAATAGCGTGGTTCAGATTTTGATAGAAAATGAATGCCTTTAGCATCAGGTGTTTGGACTTTGATTGTAGACTGAGGACTGAACTTCTCACTAAACTAGAGATTCTGGTCTCATCAGTAATCTTAGTTGAAAACCTGATGAAGGTACTGGCTGGAAGGAATTTGGATCTTAACAGATTGACCGACGTTTTAAGACTAACGGAAACATTCGATTTATTAAGTACAAAATTTGCCTTATATAGGGGTTTAAGCCTAGAAAGATTTGTCTCCTGCTAAGATTTTCCTAACGTAATGTTGATTAGAACGAAAGAGACAGAAAGTATTCCTAATCTAAATTTATACATCGTTCTCCTTCAAGATCATGTGAGGCATTTCGGGACCAACGCAATCCTTCCAGAATAATCTCGTATGTATGCATACGTCTAGGATGCACTTGACTCCTACGCAGTGCTTATACCTAAGCTAAACTGGTGCAAGCGTATAGTTTCCCTATTTCTGAGTTTTATTGCTTTGTTTTATGCTGCGAGCATCCGTTGGGTAAATCCTATGGTGCAAACGAGAGCGTACCGCTTATGCGTTCTCTTATTACATGGCATTGATCTGGAACTTTGTGTCATTTTCGATGCACTCGTATTCATTGAACCTGACTAAGCAGAAGGGATGATAAACAGAACAGCTGTTTATATTTGACTTTGAACTTTTACTTCTTTGCATCGTCTTGGGTGATTCGAGAACGTTCTTCAATTATTGCTAATTTATCGCATTCACAACAGTGATTTTTTTAAAAATTAGCTGGTCATTGGTTCCAAGTGGTACTCAGATGACCCGCCGAATGTTTCGAAACATCCGTAAAATTTATTGGTGGGTAAATTTGATCAAAGTAGGCCTTGATTTGTTCTGATACCTTATGGAATGTATAGTAAAATTGTGATTTCTGATATATTAGTTATTGCTTCTAAATGGCCACTACATGACTCACCGAAAGAACTGGAACATCTATAAAATGTATTTTATCGAAAATTTCATCAAAGTAGGTCTTGATTTTTCTCTGCATTTATATGGAATATAGTAAAATTGTGTGTTTTATTTTTTTTACGTAGGGCTACGTCTGTGCTTTCTATATGGGGGTACACTTTATGAATACCGAAATGGAACATGTAACAAAATTATGAAAGATTTTTAACATTAATAACCCAGCTCCCCTGGACCAATTTCAATGATTTTATCACCAATCGATCAAAAATATTTTTACGCATCTGTTAAATTTAAGACTTTTTCATTTTTCAAAGTGTCATTATTGAAAATTGCACGAATGTTTAACTGTTGCTATGATAAATAAAATTATCACCGATTGCCTGCGAAAAGCGATTTCCCTAACACAGATTTCAAAGTTGAATTCCATCCGGTCTCACCAAACGGTGTTTATTCAATCACCGTGTGGTGAGTGAAGGTGTTCTCCAGTACACATCGAAAGGCTGCCTGCAAGCAGCGAGTTGCAGCCCACATGAGCAACCATAGAAGGAGGAAAAAGCCGCAAAGCTATTGATCGGAATCAGTAGCTCTTCGTTAGTTGCTGTGGGCCATTTATGTCAAGCGCGTCATATTAAAGAGTATAAACAGAGAGAACCCCGCTCATTCGTACACAAAACACAAGCTCCTGCTGCAGATAATAAATAAGATTTATTATATAAGATCACGTAGTCCTACGTCACCATTGCGTACAACCCTATAGGGCGGTCCCTTGTAGTTTTTTTTTTTTTTTATAAATTAGCTGGTCATTAGCTCCGAAGGGTCACCAGATGGTCTACCGGAAGATCACGAACATCAGTAAAATGTATTGCTTTGTAAATTTGATCATGTCTGCAACTATATGAAATGTTATTAAATGGAGATTTTTGATCGATTAGCTGGTCATTGGCCCCGAATGGTCACCTGATGTTTGATGATGCTTCGTAAATTTGATCAAAATAGGCCACGATTTTAATCTTCAACTATATGAAATGTAGTAAAATGGTGAATATTAATGTATTAGTTGGTAATTGGATCTAAGGGTTCATCGGATGGGCCGCCGGAAGGTCCGGAACATCCGTAAAATTGATTGCTGCGTAAATTTGATTAAACTAGGTCTTGATTTTTCTCTGCAATTGAATGCGATGTGGTAAAATGGTGTTTGCTGATACATGAGCTGGTCATCGGATCCAAGTGGTCACCAAATGGTCCATCGGAAGATCCCAAACATCTGTTAGAGTGATTGTTCTGTAAATTTGATCAAAGTATACCTTGATTTGTGCAACTATATGAAATGTAGTAAAATTGTGGTTTTTGATGCATTTGCTAATCATTGACTCCGAATGTTCACCAGATGGTCGCCCAGAAAGTTCGGAACATCTTGGTTGATCATTAATTTATTTGATAAGGCTCAATCGAATTTACTTTACAGAGCCGATGATTCTTATTGACTATACTATTCATCTTAAAACTATAGTCAAAAGGTACAACAAAATAAACATTTTATCTTCCGCTATCCTTAAGCCTCCTGCATCAGAATGGGAGCAATTTTCAGTGGTTTCATTGTATGGTAGTATCACCAGCGGTCGGCAGAGTGCTTCCATCCATCACACACTCATCACAAAACGGTTGCTTTCCAAAGTCAACGACGCATCGACCGAAAGAACTGCTGATGAAGAACAATGAGGAGGACCACACAATGGTTGCTGCCGAGAAAACAGACGATCGCGTGGCACTCATCGAGACTGGCCTGCTTCTGTCGACAGTCGAGTGAATAGTGAGTTTGGAACATCTGTAAAATTTATTGCTGTGCAAATTTGATCAAAGTAGGCCTTGATTTGTTCTGATAGTATATGAAATGTAATAAAATGGTTTATTTTCGATATATTAGACAGTCATTGGTTTTAAGTGGCCACCTACCGGAAGATATGGAACATTCGTAAAATTTATTGCTTCGTAAATTTGATCAAAGTAGGGCTTGATTTTTCACTGCAGCTATATGGAATGAAGTAAAATTGTGGTTTTAATATATTAGCTGGTCATTGATACCGCGTGGTCACCAGATGGCCCACCGGAAGACTTTGTACATCTGTAAAATTCATTGAGAAAAATTCAGAGAGAGAGAGAGAGAGAGAGAGAGAGAGAGAGAGAGAGAGAGTCTGGTTAGATGAACACATTCTCAGAATTTGTCTGTTCTCACGCTGAGTTGAGTCGGAATATGTTTGTTATTGCCTCTGTCCTATTTGTAGTGAGAGCCTGATTGGAAAATGAACATTGTGAGTTATATCTCTCAAATACTGGTACTGAGTGTTCATTGATCCGGATATTTGCAACATGTAAGCAACATGTTGATTTTCATGAGAATCTATGGAAAAAAAAGGTTAACTCTAAATAGACAGATTTCAGCAACTGGAAACCGTTGAAAATTACGTCTGAGAACTGGTTTTTTCGATTAGATCTTTGTTATGTTCATGTTGGTGGTAGTGATAAAGTTTGACTGTTGATTTCCTTGATTAGTTTTCCGTCTATCTTGTTTTCCGTACTGAGTACCAATGCTACCGAAGCCAGGGAGGCAGCTCCCACACCTCGACCCTACCCTACCGACCCATCAACTCATGAACCGGGGACCAACGGCTTTACTTCCCTTCCGAAGGAAAGCATGATAAGAGATTGTATGCCTCATAAAATTCCGACGGCACCGACTGGCATTCAATCCAGACCCTTCGGAGTGAGAGACAATAACGCTTACCACTAAACCACCGGTGCCGCTCAGTTTGAATCTCGATGAAGACATATCATTGCTCATGCTGTAGTGCATAATAGTATTATTATAAATAATATTATTATTAATAATCGGTTTTTGGAGCTGGTTACGAGTAACCACATTGACAGGCCTGGTAGCCAAGGAAGAACGCAGATATTTGTATGTGTTTTATGGCCGTTTAGAGACCACTAATTGCCAATTAACATGGTTTCCAGCAGACATCACTGATCACAGCAATAACATGCATCAAATTGATCATCTTGTAATTTCCTCATTGCACCATGTAACGAGTCATGCAAGTTTGATCGGTGGTAAATTATAGCGCTATAATAGAAGATAGCCATGGGCCTTGTTTCACTTCAGTTCAGTTCAATCAGGTACGGCCAAACATGAAGATCACTTTGAAATACGTCCTTTTAGTGTTTAAAGTTTCACTAGCATTGGGAGTGGCGGTTAGTCAATTTACTTTACATTTTGAATCTATTCAAAGCGCTCATTTGACAAATTTCAGATGTACGAGACATCTATCGACTCGTTCCAACCGGATCCCAACATAGCAGAGGACTATATAACTCTGGGCACGCTGCGAGTCACCCGTAAAAAACGCAATTCCTACATCATAATCGGGGACTTTGAGCTTCAGCAAAACTGGGGCAATGAGAATATGGTATGGACAGGTTAAGCACGCTTTACAATGTTAGAAGAAAAATGTGTCTTCCGCTATCGAAAGGTATCCTTCGCACTTGAACCTGCCAACAAGAATGGACCACCGCTGATGGCTGGTAAGAAGAATTTTTGCGAATTTTTAAACATGGACAATGCCATCATCGATGAGATCCGAGTGGGTTCTAATTTGCCACCGAAGGGGACCTGCCCGTTGCCGAAAGGAAAGTACCAAATCGAAAACTTCGAGCTCACCGAGGATATGCTGCCGCCAATACTGCCAAAGGGTCAGTACGTGCTGAATGCCAGAATGGATAACGTCGAGGGAAGGCAGGTTATGGCGTACAAGGTGTATGCGACTGTTAAGTAGTTGGAAGAGTGCGATCAGTGATATTGTTGAAATAAAAGCTGTGGATGGAAATTTAATTGACAAGATTGAAAACTTATTTGAGAGTAGTTGACATTCCATGATGGCAAAGAAATGACTGTGGAAACATGCAATATGGCGGTGCTGTACCTTTTGGCATGAAAGCATTTGATATAGAGCAACTACACACCAATTGGCGAATCGAAAAAGTTCGACCTTCTCCGATTTGCATAAAATTTTACCAAATTGTTTTCTATGGGCAATGAATCACATTATCAATTTTTAAGGGTCCATAATTTTTCATGATCTTTTATTTTTATAAATCAAGACCCGTTCGAGAAAATTTTGATGTTACGGCGCACCGCAATTCTCCTCGTTACCACATTCAACCCAGCAATGCAATGTTAGGCTCTACTTGTGTGTTCGGGTTCAGGCAGCGCGTCCGTAGAAAAATGGGTTTGCGTACTTACAGGTACTGGCGGTGTGTTGAACTTGAAGCCTACCACCAAGACGGCTGTATGTAGTGGTTTTGTTTTTTTTTTAACTAGTTCGATTGTTTACTAGGCTCAGTCGTGTGTGACACTTTGCGGAGCCAAAATCAGTAATGTTTGAATTTACATTTTAAGCAGCAGTAGTTCCATAGAGGTAACTCTAAGACTAGAAGGTCCCGAAATAACGTGCTCAACTTTTTGGCTCAGCTCTGGTACTCTCTTCGGTCCCAAGCTAATCGATTCACCCCTCGAAACATAGGAAAAACCAATAACCCCTCATTTTATCTGTCAAATTTTCATAGCGAATCAAAACAAACATTGCGTAGTAATAGAATTTCGACTAGAATGGGGAACGTTAATCGTTTGCTTGGGACCAATAGGCTAGTCAAGTAGTGAGCCAATTCAAAATCGTTAGTTTCGTATTGATTGTTGGTAGTTCTAGGTTAGTATTGGGTACCAATTACTTGTGGTGGGCTCGAGGTTAATGGGTAACAATTTCGATTGGAAGGAGCTAGGTAGAAAATTGTTTTCTTTAGCCTCCTTCAGACTACTCCCGGACGGTTAACCAAATCCTGGCCGGGTAAGGGCAAGTATCACAGAAACAGGAGGATAATAAGACTGGGACACAATGGCTGGAAATTGATTGGAAACGAAGGGATGGTCACATCAAATTCTAACATCAGACAAACAAAGGATTTCTTACTTCACGGAAGGGTTGTCTAGCACGAGTCACTAGGGTATCCAATAGTGATGCTCTGGAGGCGTCATTACCCGGACAATGCTAAACTGCGTGATCGATGTCATCATAACCAGTTCTGCACCTACATATATTGCTGTTAACGAGGTTTATTCTATAGATATGTGCGTCTAGCGAGTAGTGGATGGACATAAGTTTTGACATGACGCGAATGAAGCCCTGACTTACTTCTGGACCTTTAAACCACGCTCTCGAAGAAACCGCCCAAGATAATTACTTGTCCAATCGTTTTGCCAACTTAAAAGAGAACTCTGACGTACTAATGGGAAAAAAATCATCATGTTTGGGGTTGGGTTTTACTCGAGTGACCATTTGGATCGGCTCGTAGGGATTCCGCTGGAGAAGTACTCGAATGGTCGTCTGGTCCAAGGCTACTCACAGGATACATGATAACCACAGGTGGGCTGTGAGATATTTGCCGTTAATGTTCGTGAAAAGTTCACTATTTTTCCATAATGAGATGATGAGCTGGCGGATGGCGGTGGTCGGAAGGCGGTGGTCGGATGGTGGTGGTCGGATGGCGGTAGTTGGATGGCGGTGTTCGGAGAGCAGTGGCTGGATGGTGGTGGCTGGATGGTGGTGGCCGGATGGCGGTGGCGGGATTGTGGTTTTTGGATTGCGGTGGCCGGATTTCAGCGGCCCGATTCTGATGGCCAGATTGCGGCGGCCGGATGGCGGTGGTCGGATGGTGGTGGTCGGATGGTGGTGGTCGGATGGCGGTGGTCAGATGGTGGTGTTCGGAGGGCAGTGGCTGGATGGTGGTGGCCGGATGGCGGTGGCTGGAGGGTGGTGGCCGGATGGCGGTGGCGGTATCGTGGTTGTCGGATTGCGGTGGCCGGATGGTGGTGGCGGGATTGTGGTTGTTGGATTGCGGTGGCCGGATTTCAGCGGCCGAATTGTGATGGCCAGATTGCGGCGGGCGGATGGTGGTGGTCGGATGGCGGTGGTCGGATGGCGGTGGTCGGATGGCGGTGGTCGAATGGCGGTGGTCGAATGGCGGTGGTCAGATGACGGTGGTCGGATGGCCGTGGTTGGATGGCGGTGGTCGAATGGCGGTGGTCGAATGGCGGTGGTCAGATGACGGTGGTCGGATGGCCGTGGTTGGATGGCGCCGGCCGGATGGCCGTGGTTGGATGGCGCCGGCCGGATGGCGACGGCCGGATGACGACGGCCGGATGGCGACGGCCGGATGGCCGTGGTTGGATGGCGCCGGCCGGATGGCGACGGCCGGATGACGACGGCCGGATGGCGACGGCTGGATGGCGACGGCCGGATGGCGACGGCCGGATGGCGACGGCCGGAGGGCGACGGCCGGATGGCGAATGGCGGTGGTCGAATGGCGGTGGTCAGATGACGGTGGTCGGATGGCCGTGGTTGGATGGCGCCGGCCGGATGGCCGTGGTTGGATGGCGCCGGCCGGATGGCGCCGGCCGGATGGCGACGGCCGGATGGCGACGGCCGGATGGCGACGGCCGGATGGCGACGGCCGGATGGCGACGGCCGGATGGCGACGGCCGGATGGCGACGGCCGGATGGCGACGGCCGGATGGCGACGGCCGGATGGCGACGGCCGGATGGCGACGGCCGGATGGCGACGGCCGGATGGCGACGGCCGGATGGCGACGGCCGGATGGCGACGGCCGGATGGTGGTGGCGGGATTGTGGTTGTTGGATGGCGACGGCCGGATGGCGACGGCCGGATGGCGACGGCCGGATGGCGACGGCCGGATGGCGACGGCCGGATGGCGACGGCCGGATGGTGGTGGCGGGATTGTGGTTGTTGGATGGCGACGGCCGGATGGTGGTGGCGGGATTGTGGTTGTTGGATGGCGACGGCCGGATGGCGACGGCCGGATGGCGACGGCCGGATGGCGACGGCCGGATGGCGACGGCCGGATGGCGACGGCCGGATGGCGACGGCCGGATGGCGACGGCCGGATGGCGACGGCCGGATGGCGACGGCCGGATGGTGACGGCCGGATGGCGATGGCCGGATGGCGATGGCCGGATGGCGATGGCCGGATGGCGATGGCCGGATGGCGATGGCCGGATGGCGACGGCCGGATGGCGACGGCTGGATGGCGACGGCTGGATGGCGACGGCCGGATGGCGACGGCCGGATGGCGACGGCCGGATGGCGACGGCCGGATGGCGACGGCCGGATTTCGACGACCGGATTGCAGCAGCCAGATTGCAGCAGCCAGATTGCAGCGGCCGGATTGCAGCGGTTGGATTGCAGTGGCCGGATTGCAGCGGCCGGATTGCAGATGGTGGATGCCGCGATACGAGGTCAACAATGGAGCACCGTGATCGAGACACTATCGAAGCGATGGCCGAATGGTGATGGCAGAATCGCGATGGCCGAATCTCGATGGCCGGATAGCGTTGGCTGGAGGCGTTGGCCAGATGATGACGGCCGGATCCTGATCGGTCAAGTGATGGAGCACCGTGATCGACGCACTATCACCTCTTTCTCCGGGCACTTTGTTCCAAACACTCCTCGTGTATTTCCTATTTGTTCACAGCACAGTCAACAACCCACTCCCTGTCCTCTCTCTCTCTCTCTCTCTCTCTCTCTCTCTCTCTCTCTCGGCCAAACGATCTCTCACCTCATCATCGACTCTCAGCTTCCGCGTAGCTAGTTTTCGTCTCCCACTACTCTATGACATGTCGGTGGTGGTTCAATGAACTGTGGTCGCTTCGCCCATGCAGAAAAACACCTCCATCATCGCTGTGCCCTACCTTAACGTCCACTTTAGAAGTGACTAGCTATCTATCTTAACAACATTAACCCTACTCTTACACCAACTGAATCAAATTTTACCAACCGTTAACAGCAGTAGCACCCCGTATGCAGGTGGGGCGGGACTTGACGCTTGGTCATTGGTAGACGAGGCACTCGAAGACTCTGTCCGGAAGTGACGAACCTTCGCTACTGGAAAACGCTGCCTGTTATTTGGCCTTGCAGTTATGAAACGGTACGATTCCCCAAATGGCTGATGGCCTGATTAACAACCAGGTTCGTACTCAATGGGAAGCTAAATAAAATCACCTGAGTCGAGGAACAATCTCACTGGCGTGGCATACTTTCCCCTACTAGTTCTCTCACAGAATGGCAACCACTATAATGGCGAGTGGACAAGGGAGGTCAAGTTTCTCTAAGTGGTCTATATCGCACCCCTTTCCTCCGATCGTACCGACCTAACCTCAACGACGCTTTCGTTGGCCAGAATTACGGACGTCGCAGGCCCTATTACGGTGATCCACCGACGGGTACACGCTTCCGTTAGCTTGTTTTTCCTTTCTTCACTACTTTTACTATTTTCGACGACTCACTTTACTATTCTTCTCGTTTCACAATTTCTGCTGGATCACAAATGCAAAAGTCATGAGTCAACATATTTCCTGGTGTGCCAAGCAAAATCTTCCAAAGTTTTCAAAGACCGTGAAAACAGAAAAATAATATCTTTAGCCCCAGAAAATCGCAACTAATTCATAAATTATTGGGTTTTCTGATTCCGAAAAATCATTGGGTTCGACTGAATTCCGGCCTTCCAGCGATCACGCTTCAATACGTCAATGCACGTTGATTATCGTTTTTCGTTTTCAATCGGACAATCATCTATTCCGACAAACGTAAATTCGACTTGGTCCCCAAAAAGGACTTGTAATTTCTGTGACCAGAGCACTGAGCTATTAAAATTTGTATGTTGTTTACCTAATTCCAAGGGGAGTCATCACGAAAATAATACCAC